GGATCCCGGAAGTGAGGTGATGGTGGGTAGAAGTGTGGAGGACAGTATCCCTGTAACTGAGCCCAGAGCAGCACCATCTCAGAAGGGTGGGACATGGCCACACCGCAGACTGAAGCAACCTGCTGCTACCCACTGCCACCCACTGCTCCAAGCCCCCTGCGCCTGCTTCTGCCTGTGACGCTTTTGTGGGGGTGCCTTTTGTTTTGTTTGCCTTACTGGAGAGTGAATTAGTGCCTTCACTTGAGCTGCACGCCCAGCCGTCTTCCAGTGCTCACTTTGAGATCAAGTCTCACGAAGCTGTCCAGGCTGAGCTCCTTCCACAGCCTGGGCTACAGTACGCACTGCACGAAGCCACCTCCTTCCCAATGGACACCCGGCTGCTTTCCTGAGACCACAGCAGAGCTGCAGAGGCTGCAGTCATTGTCCAGCTTGCAAAACCAAAGCTATTTTCTATGGGACCTCCACAGAAAAAGTCTGCCAACCCTTATGCTGGAAGAGGAACTTCATTCAACCAAGATGGCTATGAGGAGTGGGGAGCAGGGGAACTCTGAATATAGGAATGGGGCGGGGGGGTGGTGGTGTTAAGGAGAACCAGGATGTGGTTTGCACAAGCTCCAACTCCCTGGGATGAACATTGTCACTGTGTACTGCAGACGTGGACTAACAAAAGTTTGTTTGTTTGTTTTTTTTTTTTTTTTTAAGCAAAGAAAGGAAGGAAGGAAAGAGGATGTCAAAGGGGCTGACAATGGTAAGACAATATATAAATGTTATATGCTCTGCCAGGCATGGTTCTGCGCTACTATAACTGCAGCACTTGGGAGGCTGAAGTAGGAGGACTGCCACAAGTTCAAGGTCAGCCTGGATTACACAGCAAAACCCTGTGTCAAAAAAACTAAACAAAACCAAATTAAATGAAATTTTAAAATGTCATATGTTGTGATAAGGTCGATATAATTTTATAGAGGAGAAGGCAAAAGGAAAAAAAGTCAGGCATGGTTGGCACATGCTTATAGTTCAGCACGCAGGAGGCTGAGGCAGGAGGATCATTGTGAGTTTGAGGCCAGGCTGGGGTACAAGGTGAGTTCAGTGCCAACCTGGGCACAGCAAGTTCCTGTCTCATTAAAAAAGATAAAATAACTTCATTGATTTTATATGCATAATAGGTATATCTCTGAGGTTAGAAATTTAATGACAAAATAGAAAAGGAAAATAAAGATTAAGGAAATTATCTAAAATCTGAAGATAATGGCTAGAGGAAAAATTATAAATATTCCTAAAGAAAAGCTATTTTAAAAAAAAGAGAAAATCTCAACATATAGTCAAAGACACATGGCAGACACGTGACACAGCAGGAGTGATCACATTTGTCTGAATACTGATGTGAGTTTAATTCACCCATTTGAAGAAAAAAATGTTTAGATTTTCCTGTACTACAAAACCAAATTCTGTCCTGCATGCAAAGGAGTCAAGCGAACACAGCACCTCAGAAGGGCACAGAAGGTGTGGAAGATTTACCTAAAGATAGAAATGTGAATCAAAAGAAAGCAGAGGTTGTATTAATACAGGACAAGGTATAATTCCAAGACAGGTGCATCGAAGGACACGGAGTAGGACATGGCCCCCAGGGGAGGGAGGACGAGATGACTGATGTTTATTCACCCCAGTTGCTTTATGCCCAGGCTCGGGGCAAGACACTGGGGACAGGCAAGATCAATGTGGCCAGTAACACAGACTGACTAAGGGCATCCACTGATCTTTGCCCTCATGAGGACTGATCAAAGCTTAACATCATGAGGAAAACCACCACGAAAGGTCCACAGAAGAAATGAAGCCAACTCTGAGCTCTGAGAATAAAGCAGTACATCTAACAATCATAAATGTGAATGCCACATTGTTAAGCTTTGCCTAATTTTTTAAAATTTCTCTCTGCAGTCAGAAAGGAAATACAAAATAAGTTATGAAATTTTAAAAGTCACAATTAATAAGATACAATTAAAGCAGTGGCCACAGGGACATTGAAAGTAGTTATGCCTAGGCCAGGCCTGCTGGCACTTGCCTGTAATCCCAGCACATGGGAGGTTGAGGCAGGAGAATCCCTCTGAGTTTGAGGCCAGCCTAGGCTACAAAGTGAAATTAAAACCAGCTTGAACTCCATGATGAAATCCTAACCAAAAAGACCAAAATAGGGCTGAGGAAGATAGCTCAGGGGCATAAGTGCTTGCTTGGCAAGTGCAAGGTCCTGAGTTCGGTTGCTAGTAAAAATAAATAAATAAATAAATAAATAAATAAATAAATAAAAGTTATACATGAGAGAAAAGCAGAAAAATAGATTGTCACTCAGCTCATAGAAGAAAAGTGAATATGGTAAAAATGTAGAATGGAGGAAATAATACAAAATGAGTTGACACATTACAGAACAAGACAATCAGAATCATGGGAGCTGTTGGGTAATACTCCCTCCCTAGGGCTGGCCAAATAGCTCAGTGGATTAAAGTGCTGCTTAGGTAGACATAGGGGCCGGGGTTGATCCCCCTAGCGTGCTGTGCTAGCCCCATCCCCACGGTGCACTGAGACAGCAAATGAGATTGGGCATGGTGGTGTGTGCCTGTAGTCCCAGTGTTTGGGAGGCTGAAAACAGGAGGATCTGGGGGCCAGGGAGATGGCTCAGTGAAATAAACTCTTCCTGGGCAAGCGCAAGGGCCTGAGTTCAATTCCCACTTCTGCCAAAAAAAAAAAAAAAAAAAAAATTCTTACAATATTAACCCCCCCCCCCAAAAAAAAAAAAACCAGGTAGTGAGACCCTGTAGATCCTGTACTAAATATGAAAAAAAAATCTCCCTCTCTATCAGGGGTACCCCCCACCCCCAGTGCCAGGCTCATGGCTGTGCACAGATGAATGTGGGCACCTGGGCTGGCTTCATTTGTCTTTTTCCAAGGTGCTATCATATTCCATCATTTTCTTATGGATGATTTTCCAGGGATGTCTTTATGTATGTTAGATTAGGAATTGTTTTAGAATGCAGACAGGCAGATAGGTCCGACCTGAGAAGGAGGCACGCTGACATCACAGGAGAGTGATGTTGAGAACAGGGAGATCATCTGACCCTTTCTGCTGAGGGCAGTTATGTTGGTTTCAGGGCCTACAAAAGCAGGAAACTGGCTGGGAACTACTTCCATGGGGCCAAACAGCCTGCAGAGCTTTTGCTATTCTCTGAACACAAGAGCCACAAAGATTGCAGCAGGTCAGCAAGATAGCCAGGTATTAACATGTCAAGATTTCAGCGGTTGATAAGGCCTGGCTCCCTACCCACCCAGGGCATTTAGTTAAGCCACACATGCTGGCTTTTACAATCAATGGGAGGGAGAATTTGAACAGGCATACCTCTTTCAAAATCATATAAAAAAAAGAGCCATTCCTGGGGCTGTCCTCCTCACCTCCTCCTTCTTAGCCACCATGCTGGGAACAGAGGCCATCAGTACCTCTGCGGGTATCGGAGTCCCACTACAACATCACCTTACAAGCCACACTGAAGAGTCAGCCCCCATCCTTCACTGTCTCACCTCCCAGGTGAACTGGCCCATATGGTTCTCCAAAATAGGCAAGCTCTAGGTCTCCCAATGGGGGGTAAAAGGTGGCACCTGCCTCTTCCTAAGAGAAGAGTGCTGTACATATGCCAACCAAAACGGGTATTATTAGAAAAAATCCAACAGATGCTAGATCGCACTCACCAGGTTCACCAGCTCTCCACACTAGCCTCTAATGCTGCTTCCCTATGGCCCACCCTGCTCCCCTGGGTCCTTCGTCTTCTAGGCCCACTGGAAGCCCTTATTCTCCTCTTACTGGAGGCCCCCTGCACAGTCTCCCTAATCAAAACCACTGTCCAAAAATTAACCCACCCAAAATTTTAACCTTATGCCCCTTGCAGGCTATCACCCCATTCCTATGGCTGAACCTGACGCTCCAGACCACGAGTATACCCTCTAAATCAATGCCCCTTCACAGCAGAAAGTAGCCAGAAAAGACTTCGTTGCCCTTCTCCTATAACTCAAAGTCTGGAATGTTAAGGCACCCAACCGTGGGCCCCCTTAGCCCTGCACCACTTCATTTTTTTTTTTTTTTTTTCAGAACTGGGGATTGAACTCAGGCCCTTCGCTTGTCAGGGAAGCACTTATTCCACTGAGCCATCTCCCTGGCCCCCCTGCGCCACTTCTGATGATGTTCCCAGATGTTCCAACTATGCTGTCAAGATTTAACCTTGACTGTCTGTGTCCAGCTGCTTACATGTAGCTCAATTTCAGCTTGACTTAAGGACTCTACACTTTGTATCCAGAGCACCCTGGCCCAGCCAGGGACACTTCATGATTCTCCTTCCCCATTCCCACCCAACCAGAACACCCTGGTCCAGCAAAGGACACTTGATGACTCCCCTTCCCCATTCCTGTGGGCTTTATAAAGTGCCTGTCCCCCCAGCCATTGCTGCTGTTCAGGTCCGCTGAGCAGCCCAGCACATGCTAGTTGCCGTCAATAAACTGCTGTTTTCGTGCCAGCTAACATCAGTGCGTTCTTGGGTGGGTTCAAGGGCGACCTTTCCAGACAATGTTCCTGTCATTAGAAAACTAAGCAGACCTGGGTATGGAGGCACACACCTGTAACCCTAGCACTCAGGGGTAGGGGTGTGCAGGGAATCACCATGAGTTCCAGGCCAGCCTGGCTACATAATTAGTTCACTGCCAGGCTGCAGTACAAAGTGAGAACCTGTCTCAAAAACCAAACAAAACAAATTGAACAGCTAGCCCAGTGATCTTTGGGACAGTGTATATTGTTATACCATAGAGAAATGGGAGGAGAAAAGTAGATATTTTTGAAGATATAATTACAAATTTTCCAAATTTAATGAGTTATAAACCCACGATTCCAAGAAACTCAGTTAACTCAAATACCTGGGGATACCCATCTTTAGCCTCATAAATTACTTAAATGATAATGAAAATGAACATACCTTCCAGCAAATCATAAATCTTCTGGCCCCAGTTCGCAAAATAAAGTGAATTACCACCTGCCCAAGGAAAGCAGATCAGCCTGAAAATTGCATTGGGCTTTGGGTGTAAGCAGTTGAACACTTTTTCATTTCTAGGGGAAAATACAAACACGTTTCTCAGTTAGTAGGTGTCAACATAGTTCTCCAGATTGAATTAGGTGTGCTTTAGCAGAAAGCTTCACGAATTATAAGGAGCACCTGTGCAAATGTGATGTGACTGCTGGTTTTTTCCAACTTGAAAGGCAAAAGAATTTATTTTTTTATGGTCTGTGTTTGGCAATCTGAATGGATAAACTCTGAGCGACATGGCTGAAATAATCAAGTATCTATTTGGAGCACTTAGTGAGCACATTTAGTACGCACAGGAAAGGTGACATAGATGTTCATTCAGTGCCTGCTTCCTCACAGATCAAGGAAGAGTTTACCTCTGACAGAACAAGCTGGCCTCAGTCTCAGTGCCTTCATTACCACCAGGGTCATTTTTAAATTACCTACAACTTTTCCAGAATGTAGACCTTTTGCTCCCTTCCGAGCATCTGATAAGCTGTGCTTTGGGGTCTACATATAATGTCATTGGAAATTTTATCCCAAGATCCATGTACCCAGCCAGCTGATGTTTGGAAACTGTCTTTTTGAAAATCCATCCTACTGGGGGGGCCTGCCCCTCAGCTCAGTTCTTTAATTGGCTGCTTCAACAAACCAGTCAGGCTCAGGTTGCTGTGGTTCGATCCCCACAACTCACGCCAGCCGATCAT